GGTTTTGAATTTCATCCTTTGAATGTCACAGGAAAAAAAAGAGGAGATTCCGTCTGAATCCTCTTTGTAGCCTGACGGAGAACACAGTTAGCTTTTCTCTCTCTCTGCCTGACTGAACTCCCATGTAGGATATCCCCGGCAGTTCTCGTCTGTTAGCCTGTCTCCCTCTTCCGCAGCCATCTGCTCGGGTCCATGTGTGTTTTCTGCAGCTGCCAACATACTACACAACACCGTGCTGTGCTTTCCAGGCCAGCACTGACTGCCTGCTTGCCTTGCTCACGTAAGCCCTGTCTCAAGAGGGAATTCACTCAGGCTGGGTGTAGGTGGATTTATGGATAGAGAGCATGAAGAACAGCCTTTTGTGACTCAATTTTGCATTTTGTTTAGAAGAGATTGAGGTGTATGAGACAAGCTTAACAGAGGCTATTGAGATTCATACATTCTTCCATGACTTCAGCTTGTCTGAAACATCACGGCACCATCTCTCCCATTCCATCTAATCTTTCCCTCTCTGACCAGTGCCTCTGTCCTGCTGTTGTGTCATAAGTGTATAGTTTATGATATATATTATATTATAGCCTGACTTCATTTTTGAAGCGGAGACTGATATAATGTCAGGTATTATTTTTGTGATAATTAACTGAAATTTGCAGTAAATTTACACAAGCTAGCAATTACTTGTCAAAAATCGAACATTATGATTTCTTCACGTCTGCGTCTGTCATGGTTTACATGATGGTTTGCATCACAGGCATAGTTTAGTGCTCATAGTGTGTTTCTTTCTCTTTTTATTTAGGCAGTAAAATAAACATTGCATATTCCTGTTTGGTGTATTGCAGTGAAACTATTTGAGATGACATGTAAACATACAATTTGAAAATACACAAGTCTTGATGCTTTAGGCCGTGTTAGGGTCAACAAAAACACTGCATCAGAAATGCCAGGGGTTGCATTGGTGTAGGCGTATTGCTACTTGCTACAGGGCACTGGTAAGAGGATAACGTACATACCAGGAAGTCCATTCTGAAGGCTCATCTCTAGACACTCATTAATTCCTCTCCCTGGCACAAAACATTGTACTTTTCTTAAAATATAGCAATTTTAACAGGAGCATAGAGGACTTTTCTAAACGGCAACCATAGAAATACTTTTTAGCCTTTATGAATGTAACTATGTCAATGTCTAAGTTTTTGTTACAGCCTTTGTTTTCCTTTTCTATTGTCACATCTTAGGATTTTTAACTCAAGATCCAAATAGTTGGACACAGGCAGGCAGGATGGTTGGACTTGGATAGGAACTACTTTCTCTCCCCACTTTTCTTTGTACTTCCTCTCTCTCTCTGCAGTTTTAATCTGCAAAGTGCACCTTGGCCCATTAGTGCAGTAAATCTGAGCCCTCTAACTTGAGCCAGGATGAGTCTGGAGTGTACCGCATTGCTGCAGTCAGCAGCAGCATCCTCTCAAACTGCAGCTCACTACAGGCATCTCTACGAGACTGGTGCATTGCTCTACAATATGCTAAAGCCACTAATCAGGTGTAAACACAAATGTTTTTGCAGTATCTAAATAGATTAAAACAGCTGATAACCTACTACATTAAACTGCAGAAAGGGCAGAACTGGAGCCTAGAGGCCCCATGTGGTAGTTTTCCTAATTTATGCAACCATGCGTTAATTGGACAGGTCAGGTTCCACTCCACCGTTCACTTTAAATACGCTTCACTGTAGGATTTTAGTTTTGTGATGTAATAGAGCTGGTGTTTGCCATATGTTAAAATTTGGGTTGTTGACCAGTCAGTGTTCACTCGATATGATTTTTTTGCATGATCTTTTTTGTGTGGTTGATCAGAACTATAGTATAGATACTCAAAAGCAACAGTAATTTTAACACAAGTTTGCATGAGTTCTATGTTCTTATTGTGTTGGTGAATGTTATCGTGTGTGGCTTGTTTAAGTCATTGGTGTCTCCTATTGGGACTGGTATCATGTCATTGCTGTGTAAAACTTGACTCCTTGTATACTTTCCCTGCATTGCTTTCTTTTTATATTGTTAGTAGTGCTGCCAACAATGCTGTTAAGCAATGGTTGGTAGTTGTTTAGTTGCTAGTATGGGCCGAGTGTATGACCTCGCTTACTGTTACATTACTGTTGTCCATTTCCTCTCTGCACATTTTGCAAAAAAAATGTGTTTTTTGATGTTGTATTGTACGTAAGATTCAGGCGACTTTCTAACAAAAATGGACGCTCTCCTTCTGGGACTCACTCATCTTTATCCCGAACATGTGCTTGCTTACTAGTGGTTATCAAAAATCAGTGGACAGTTAATAGTTGAAAGACCATCAGGGGACAAAACTGTTTTTTTCTATGTATTTTACACCTGTCCTTGCTCCTGCTCACATCAAAGTATCATTATGATTTCATTCATACACGTTCATCACTGCCAAATTGTTAAATGTCATCAAATCTGAAATCTAAAGATATTCAATTTACTACCACATGAGTCAAAGAAAAGTAGCAAATCCTCACAGCGGCTGGACCTCAGGAGTGATATTTGGCAAATATGTCCATTCCTAAGACTATTGCCCTATACAGTTTCATAGGCTTTTTAGATCCCAGCCCTTGCCAATAGTAAACTTATAGAAACACACAAGACACACATGATGTTGAATATCTGGCAATTTCTATCCATCTGGGGTGGTATCAGCCTAAATACCCTAAATCCTACTCAGAACAAATGACCGTAAGAAGCTTTTTCTGTAAGAAAAGTATGCTTTCATAGCCCCCTAGCCAGCCCACCATATCCTCTAATCCACATCAGTGACAAATGATCCAGGAGGACTTTGCTGTGCTGTGTAGTAGATCTACTGCCATGCCTTTTATCCATCAGGGTCATGCTATCATCATCACCTGATAGCAGGGGTGACCTGTGTCCCATCCTGGCATGATTGAAATGAAAGGGCAGGGAGCGTTAAATGAGTCCTTGGGAACGTGGGACTCCTTATTCGCTGCTTGGGAAATTGATGGTAGAAGAAAGTCACCTTCATGTTATCACTATGATGTCGGTTACGAGCCATGACTCACGTGAGTGCAGTCACTGGTGAAACAGGGCAGCACGGGCTGCTCAGCTCACAGCTTTGTCAGGGTGACATAGATGCCACTCTCTCCGCTGTTCTCCTCATTTTATTTTCTACACTACAGTAAACTGGGCTAAAACATCAGCAGTGTCGCTCCCCTCCCTCCCTCCCTCCCTCCCTCCCAGGCCATGGTGTTGACTTGAAATGTTCTAATGAGGTATTTTAACTGTGTGTTAACAGCATCTGTGTATACCTAACCACCCACCCAACCCTCACTGATGCCCAGCTCTCTTGCTGTAGCCCTCTCTGCAGCAGTGGCCTGTTTCTTGGGCAGACACTTTGAATTATTCATAGAATCGAGTTGCTCTAAGCAGTGGATCGACCACGGTTTGCTGTCATCCACACGCAAATATACAGTATACAGCAACGATGGGATGATGAAGCAGTATCAAAATGCATCAGTGTGTGCCGCTTGTTGTCTCTGTCTGGCTTGTTTTTTTTACCACATTTTAAGTAGTTGTTCAGATTATTCCAGGCTGGTATTCATAGCCTTTACTGTAAACATGTTAAAATCTCTAACTCACAGCTGTTGTAAACTACAGAGGTTACATTGGTCTGATGGTTTATTCATTCAGCTCATGTCCGCAGAATGAGGTCATCACTCCATCTAGTGGTGGAATTGTGTAGCAGTCCTAAGAAAAAGGAGAGAATATGTCAAATAAACTCACTTAGCCCTCTTTTCCTGACTGCTGTTTCCAAGCTTTTGCTTTATTTAATATAGTTTTATGTTTAACTGCAGTCCCATATTACCAAGTATAAAAAGAAAAAAAACAAAACCAAAGTGATACTTAGAATTGGCAGATCTACTGGATCGTATTATCTACCATTCTGTAAAATTTGAAATTTTGGCAGTCAGGAACTGCAAAAACTTGGCGGTCTTTGCTGCAGTGTACCACCCGTACTCCCTGCACTACACTAGCATCAAATGGCCATGGATCAACAGGACTATGGGTTGGGTCGTTCAGGCAGAGTCACTATGGAGCCCTCTCTCCCCGTTGCTGTCGGGGGGTTGGCGTGCTGTTGTTTAATTACCCCCTCATGCTCCTGACCTTGTCTGGGACGTGCTGATCATTATCAAATACACTTGATCTTTTCATGGGGACTGGTCAAACAAGCTTAAGCTGGTTTCTGTTGCCAGCAGTAAGATGGGTTTGTGTTCAGTCCTCTGGCAGCATAACAATGTCTGTGTGTCTTATCCAGTCTATGTAATCTATCCCTGTCATCTGTCACTAATGAGAATTAACTGGTTAAAAATGATATCTTTGATCAGTGACCATTCTTGCCAGTGACAGTTCTTGTGATGAGACAGGTCAGACAGATCCATGCAGCATTACAGCTAGCAACATATTACATATTTCCTGAAAGGAAAAACTGGAAAATTACCACAAACACTTGATGAATATCTGAAACAACCAGATTGTTAGGATGCTTTAGCAGCTGAGTCATGTCATTGTATTTGTATTGAACAACATGGCTTTAGCTATGTGAAGTAATCCTTTTTCCCCTTTTTCTCTGAAAAACATCTGAGAATGATGTGTAACTGGATGGACGGTAGTATTTATTCTTCTGACCTGGCGATGCAGTGTTACCCACTGGTGTAAAGAGTTAGAATTGTGGCTCTGGAGATCTCTATAGTATAGCATATATTACTGTATATATGATGTGATGATAGTTAACAAACAAATCAATAAAGCATAAAAAAAGATACAGTACTTGGTGGGTCAAGTGTAATTGAGAGAGGGCAGCCCAACTATAGCCTAAGTGTAAGGAAACACTGAGGTTATATTGTTGCGGAAATAAAAACCCCATCACTGACTGACGCGTGTCCCCCTCTCTCTCTCTCTTGCTCTCTCCTCTATCCTTTCCAGAGGCTCTGATCAGTGATAAACTGTACCCTGTGGTTCTGTTCAAAGAACACCATCCCTGGCAGGCTGGCCACACCCCTTCCCTCCTGCCTCCATGTATCCTGAATCTACCACAGACTCCCCTGCTCGCCTCTCCCTCCGACAGACTGGCTCACCGGGCATGATCTACAGGTGAGTTGATGGACATATACCGTATGCACAGACACAATACATTTGCACGTACACACCCGTATGACAGTTACTGAAGATAGGTCAGATGAGACTATGTTGTATCTAGAATAAGTAGTTTGGAGGAGTTCATATAATAATCCAGTCCTGTCATGATCTTTATCATGCTGGTGCTGCTGCACTTTGCCAAGCTGCTTGCTTTGAAAATGTGTTGTTGTGATTGGTGTACAATACACAGTTTGGAGAAAAAATAAACCTGAGTAAGCTGTTTGCATTCTGTCCTTAACTAAGACTCTGAGCAGAAACTTAGGTGTGTTCACTGTGTTGTTGTTTGATTAACTAATATAAATCCACTCAGTGAAATACATATATGAAGTATTCTGTCATACACATGCATATTTAGTATCACCATTGAGGATATTGTGATTGATGTTTAATCCCTGATGGTTTAACCATTACCTGCCCAACCGTAACCTTTACTTAACCTTTACCTAACTAAAATGAAGACACAAGTGGTAAAGTCTGAAAATGATCCCCCAAAGACATAGGCATTGACTCAGCGTTCAGATATCTGTGCGCACGGTTTATAGGCTGTGCTCTCGGATTCATCCGAGCCCTCAGATTTGTGAACTATGCCTTTGGAGCCATGACTTGGTTTGCAAGTGAAAAGCACCTTAGATACAGCGTTACATAATGAAAACGAACCCTGGCATGTGTGTGCTGTAAACTGTCAGGGTGTTGCACTGCCCTCGTAGCGTAGTTCTCCATTTTCTTCACGTCAAGTAACTTAGAAAAGTGATGTTTGAAGCTTTCGTGAGAACGTTTCATTCAAAAAGCTTCACAGTCCACACTGCACTTTCATTGGTCCTTAGGGATACACCTGCCATGTTTGAAATCGATCAGCTAAGCGCTCTAAAAAAATTTAAAGACAGACAGTCAGACAGAGATTCCTCCATTTATAGTTATTTATAGTTATAGTTAATTATCTTGCACTGCAATGTTTCACCAGCAGGTGGTGCCAAAGATTCATCAGCTTGCATCATTAAAAAGCATCTGTTCCACTCCTCTTCTCAAGCAGCTTTATTGCTGTGTTACACATTGCCTCCATCATGACCAGATGGGGTGTCTGTATTTACCTATTATAAAAGGTTGATATGGACCAGCACCTTCTTCATGTGCATCATCAAACATCAAATGGTGTGGGGTGTTGCTTCCTTTGTAATGGCAGAAATAACATATCTGAGTAAACTTTACAATGATTTTCTGTTTTTGGTCTTTAACTCTTGGTACTTTGCGTTAATTGATTACACCATCAATTTTATAATGCACATTGGTCACTTATTATTATTCTGCTATCACAAAGAACAGAAGCTCCATGCTACTTTTTAACATACTGTCAGGTCAAGATGTGTGTGTCTTTTGATACTACTTTTTATGTCAAGTAAGAGAAGTAATAGAGCAAAGCAAGAGCTCTATTTGAATCTTTATAACTAGGAACTGTATTGTGTGTTTGAAATAAGATCAAATATCATTGAGCTGAAAATGATCATAACTTGTGGCATACACTTTTTTTCAAGATTTGGAATGGAGTGCTCTTTGACTAAAAATCCAGGTATAGAAATCTTGTAATGCATATTTAAATTCTTACAATATCAAAAAATATTCAGAAATTGTTTTTATCCAAATTAAGTTTGATCTGAAATCTCATAATGAGTACATATCCTGAGGAGACACTGAGAGCAGGTAGCTGGATGTAAATCATGTGCAGGTTTGTGCATCCGTTTCATAAGTCAGAATGTATGGTAAGAGATTTTATTTTTAATATTTTCAGATCTTGAAAACATCTGGAAGATTTTATTTGTATTATCCTCAAATATGCACAAATAACTGCTCTCTTCACTTCTAATGCAGTATTTCTATTTCCTCCTATTTTACTCTTCCACATTATGCTCTGTATGTGGTTAACAGTCGCTTGTCAACTAAGTGTCTGCATCTACATTTGCGCCACTGCTAACGTCTTCCCTTTCCTTCTTTTATTAACCTAAGCTTTCTTTTTTCCTCTTTTCCCCTGACGTCTTCAGCGCTCGTTATGGGAGCCCCAAACGACAGCTGCAGTTCTACAGGTACCTGTCTGTCTCTGTCTCTGCCAGTTTGTTTGTTGTCGCAGAGCAGGGTTATTAAAGTTGGGCCATTTTGCGTTGTGTGTTTGTTTGTAAGTGTGTACGTATTTTTTTTATGTTTGTGCACTATGTATTTATAACATTTTATATTTTGTATTATTTGTATTTCACTGTAATAACCTTGCTGTAGAGACTTGCTGTTCTGTCATTGAAAACCATATATCCATTAGAAAACCTCTGCAGCATAGATAACACTTATCATCTACTATTTAGCTGGCAATGCACTATCCAGCTTAAACCTGATAGGGGTGATGATGGATTTTGTTGCAAGGTTGCTCACAAAACCTTTGAATCAACAATAAGTGTCGGGTTCAAATGGTTTTTTTTTTCTTCCTTTTTTTCATTTTTTTTTTTTTCCAGCAGTGACACCTGAGACACCTACTGTCATTCTTGTCAAACTTCAACATGTGACTAAGACGCTTTTTGCAGAACTGATTTCTGAATTTTTTTTTTTAGTATGTCATGATTAAGCAGATCGTAATTTCCTTCTTCATTTTTTGTTAAAGTGCATCATTTTTGACCTCTTGGGAGGTCACCATGATCTGTCTTGTTCTTAAAGCCAGAGAAATCATTTTGATCAGCATTGGGGATGAGATGATGTTCTCTTGTGATAGCTGGTACTCACTTCTCCTCAGGTAGTGTGCTTTTAGATGGTCAGTCCTTCTGCTGCTTTAGACTAGGATCATGTTTTATGGCCTCATATCAGGCTTTATTCTGCTGATCCAGTTATAAAAACCCCTGACTATGTGGATGTGCTTGTAATGAGCTCACTATTGGATTTTTATCTTGGCGCCTTGCACATTTCTGTCCTTTTAAAGTGCAAACCGTCCCACTAGCTGTTCCCCTGGCCTACGTACAGGAGGATCAATTAAGTCCCTTATCTCTGGCTGTCTATCACTCATGACAACCTCATTGACTGATGCTGGGAAGGGAAGTTTTATTCTTTCAGTCATCTCAACGTTGTAACACACACAAACATTAATACTGCAACCGTGACGGCTGACATGCCCTTTACCAGGGTGCGAATTCACACTGAAGGTTGTTTCCCGTCTCGGAATCCGAGTACTGGTTTTTCTCACCTCTGTTTTGACTTTACAGTGATCATTTTACTGTATGTTGTGTACAGTTTGACAAAGTATTATTTTTATTGTGTTTAGTGTTGCATTACTTTTGAGTTGTAGATCCTTACTCTTTGGTAACATGACGTGGCTGGTCCAGAGCGCTAGCTTTTATGATTCTGTACTAAGAATGCTTTTAGTAAAGTATTTCCGGCTCTGGCTATCATTAAACCATTTTATAGTTTCCAGGGGACTGAGTGCTTTCCTGTTGGTGAATGTCGTTGACTTTTGACCATAATATGTCTCTTCTATATAGATAAAGGAAAATAGATTGCGTAAAATAAATTCTTATAGCTAGTGTTTCATGGAAAGAATTAAGGATGAATTACAGTTGTCGCAGCTATGTGTACAATTTAGCATTTATATGGCTCTCTTCAACCCCTTCACTATTTTTGTTGAGAGTTAATATAACTGTTAAAGAGCTATATGTAAGTTCTGCTAATGCTACATAGCCAGCGTTAGCATTAACAGCTGTTTACTTACCAGTCTAGAACTGATGTTGCGAGTTCACCGTCAAACTGCATTCCTTTACTCACCAAGAACTGTCTCCAGTGATGGTAAACATCCCTCTTGTTTTGCTTCTATTTCCATGGCTTCTTTTCTTCTCCTGAAGTTAGCATGCTAACCAGCTAGCCCTAGCCTGGTCAGCCCATCTTGTCACTTTCCAATACCAAGTCACTGAGCAGTTAGTTCTTCAGGGCCCTGGACCCTACAGAGAGCAAATTTTAACCTCTTGTAAACACATTAATGGCTGAAGCTCTTAGCAAGACTAGTAAGTAAACAGCTGTTAATGCTAACGTTGGATATGTAGCAACAGCAAAACTTACGGCTCCTTTTAAATACAGTAGCAGGCATGCACAGTTAGTTAAAGGTCTCCGAAAGCCACAACTTGATGAGTGAATGGAGCTAGGCAGTAAGATCTTGGTAAATTACTATGTTTATTTGTGGTGTCAATTTTCAGTCCTTTGAATCAGTTGTTTTAACTCACAGAGTTGCTATTGTAAGATCTCATGCAATCATAATGACCACCTGAAAGCCAGTAGGTCATGTGCACTTGGGCAATGGCAGCATATCCAAATTCCCCTGCTATAGTCATTAATGTACAGGAACCACACTATGTGCAAGAGGGTTGGGTACAGTGAAATATATGCATTACAGGACAGTGTTGTGACTAATCATTGTCTTCTCAGTGGCATTACTGGTTTCATATCTCTGTAACAGCTGTGCCAAAATAGCTCACAGAGAAGAGGGTGTGAGTACTGGCTTCTCCCAGTAGGAACATTTCACTGTTGTCTGGGTGGTACAGACAGCAGGGTATCTGCGGGCCTCAAGTGTTAAAAAGCAATGAATTCAATTTCCTCAAAAATGCCTTTGAAGGTATGAAAGTTTTCAGTTTAATAAAAAAAACTTGAATATTTTCTTAATGATAGTTATAGATATTCTTATATCCAACTGTGCACTGGCAGGAGATGTTATGCACCTACAAACTAACAGTGAGATTGTTTTGACAGTGGGTTGTGGGCACAGGAGGCACTTCAGTCCTTTTCAATGAGCACCATCAGACATATAGCAAACACAGTCACTACTGCTAGCTACAGTTGCTAGGAAGCTCATCATCTTTATAATGGGATTTTAGCAAAAACTAAAATTAAGTTAAATTGTATGGGCCATATCGTCCCTACTGGTTTTCCCTCATACTTTGACCAGTATGACTGTAAAACGCTTATTAGGCAGATTATGTGTTTTTGTGATTTTAGTTTATGTTAACAGTACTGTGTTTAGAGTCATTATTATGTGACACGTTCTGATTCTGACCTTGACCTGAACACAAGGCTACTAAGATGCTGCAAGCATGCTTAACCAGTGTGGTTTTCATAATTCCTTGGTTTGAAAGTACTTGAACATGCTTGGTGGTTTGTCTTTTTCTGTTTATGTGTGTGTGTGTATATGTATATGTACAGTATATATTTGCTTGACACTGTGTTTGTGTGTTTCATGTGCACACAACACTCATTATTGTCCAGCTCTTAGTATTCTTTCCTGTGGAACAACAATCAGAGGCTTTTAGCGCAAAAGCTTTGGTGAATAATTCAGGGCTGATGTTATTTGCTGCGGTTAGCAGAAACAAGACGGGCCACTAAATGACATAAATGGATTTCTTCCATGAGATCTCACAGGGAGGGGAGGAGGAGAGGTGTTGGTTGTGGTGATAGAGTATGGTCCAAGTGGTGAGGGGAGGGAAGGGATGCACTCTCTTATTCACTAATTGGTTTAGACGTTTCCTAGTAAGACACTCCCAGTTTGGGTGGACCTGCTTCATCATTGTCGGCAGTGTGTGTTTATAAGAGCAGACTGACACCCCACCTCGCTCATGAGCCGACCCCCAAGAAATCGGGTGAGTTTGAGGGAAGATTTTCACTCATGTACACATCAGGAGTGTGTTAGTTTGCGTGTATGTTTTGTTTGTGAGGGGCTGTCAGAGTGAAGATGAGTGTGTATATGCGTGCGTGCGTGTGTGTAGGTGTGTGTGCATGCTGCCTATCTTGGAGTCTCCTCCTTTATTTATGTCTTTTGTCTCTTTGTGAGGAAACCAGCTGCTTGGAAGAACTTTGATGATATTTGAAATTAAAAGGGAACTTTTGGGAGAGACCCGACTCGTGTCATGACGGTATCAACGGGTTGGACTAATTTTTTATTGCATATTAGAATTTTGAATAGATACTCTTGGTTTTATTTACAGTCTGTATACAGTAATTATTACAAGATGTGTTCGATTTAATTTTATATTATTACCACTTAAAAATCATACTTTTAAAGGGGGGTTTGATGTCAGTTTTGTGGTGGCTCTGTGAGCCAATTTGTACATAGACAGAGAAGGTGCTGTATTTCTCAATAGACTTTTAAAGGATCAATATAGCTTAGACCTGACAAGATATTTCAAACCAGTAGTAAAATATCTTTTCCTTATTCTCATGTGGTTACCGGTAGGAGATTGTGGATTGACAGTGACCCAAACTGAGAGTAATTCTTGTTACAGATTAAATTGCCTTTATTAAAGTGCTAGTGTAAAAACGTCACCATAAGTATTTTTTAGATTTATCTGATTTATCAGGGTAGAAACTATTCATCATGTCTAATGATAATATTTGATAAATTATTTGGTAATAAATGCATATTCTTAAAATCACATACATGGATATGGAGTATGCTACAATGAGATATAACTAGGAAAGAAATTTTTCCTGGAATGTAGTCTCAACATGTGTTTGAATGGTTTTTCATGTTTTTTGTTTACAGACCATTCAACCATATATTCAAAAAAAATTTATGTAAAAGAATCATTAAACTTTTAAAAAAAAAAAAATTATTTTAATAATTTTTTTACATAGTCATTTATAATGTACGAAATGTATGTGTATTTAACATGGTATAACATATTGTATTAACATATATAACATTGTTCGCATGTCTGAGTATTATATCACAGTATAATTAATAATGCATTAATATAAAATTGCAGGCTCAATATTATACTCTGACCTTACCAAGAAAGAGACTTTGAAGTCGGTGCTGACTAGTGCATTTGGCATTAAACCGCATTAACCTGCATTCTTGTAGTGATGGTGGAACTGATAAAGTACTGCCCTCTATTGATTAAATTCAGAACAACACACTTTGAAGAGCTGAATTATAGAGGACTCAAATCATTTAAACAAAAGTAAGTGTGCATTTAACGGAGGAAGGAAGGCTCAGTGGCTAATCAAATACTTTAGAAAGGAAAAAACTGCTGGTTTAAGGTCTCTAATTCAATATAAAGCATTTACA